CCAACAACAAATAAGCAATATGTTTGTTCATTACGATATCAATCATAATATACATTTTGTAAACGCTTATATATATATATTGCATAAATTATTATATCAATTCAAAAGTTTTCTATTACTTAGAGACTTATCTCTACTAAAAGGCATCTATTATTAAAGATATATTATTCATTTCAAACTATACATAGACACTAAAAAGCCAGATTCTATTCTTACAACTTTGATTTATTAATAATTGGATTCTTCCTCATTTTTAGTAACGTCATTTATTCCCACCCCCACCTAAAAAAATGCTTAATTAGAGCAACGTTCAACACGTGTAGCATATCTAGAGAGAGTGATCAGAAAAAGATCATGAGGACCCAAAAGCACTTTTGTGGTACCTAATTGGCTGGCCGGTCAATTTTGTTCGGAAATATGATTCGGTTCTTCATCAGGGGCGGCAATAAGGGTGTTTCAATTGCCACCATGTAAGTAATTAGTTGAGGTAATCTCTTCTTATAATTTAATTCTTAAATTAGTTAATTTCCCAGTTTTTCTATATTTTAATTTCTGGTCAAGAGTTGATCTCCATGAAAGTAGCTAATAGTATATGAGTTATATGTCTTTGGCTTGGGAATCAAAGCATAGTGTTTTTTTTTTTTTTTTTTTTTTTTTTTTTTTTTTTAGAAATATTAGGAACCTAAACAAAGCTGAATTAATATATATACGTATGTGGCATCTGCATATATATTTTGGTACATGTGATAGGGAATATTCCACAATATTATATCAGGTGCAACATTAAGAAGTCATTTTTTTTCCCTGCATCATGAAAAGTCTACCTAGTGAGTCATATGAATTTAACCGGCTTATTTATATATATATATATATATATAAGGTGTGGGTTTAATAACACTGTGAGTGTAGTTTTAATGGTCAGTATTATAATATTTGTCTATTGGTGGACATTATTAATTTAACAGTATGATATTACTCGGACGGTTATAATAAATTATATAGTTAATAAAAAAATATGATAATTTACGTCATTAAATTTTTTCTTTTATTTTATAGAATTTTTTTCTTTCTTGTGTAAAAATCTCTTAATTGGATTCCTCTTCCAATATTTAGTTCTAAACAGAAGTTTCACTCATCAAGCACTTATGCATGGCAAAGTTAAAGAGTGAATTGTATTATGATTAAAGAAAAAGATGTGAATAATTAGCAAGTGGGAAATCCACGACAAGACTCAAGAGTATATATGTTAAGAACATGCATATGTGAAAAGGAATATAACCATCTTATATATATACACGTAGTGTAAGAGCCTACGAGCCTCATGATCAACCAATCTTTATAGTCAAAAGAGTGCCACACAATTGTAGAGCTGCCCTTTTCCACACGAATCTGATTCTGCGTTTTGTTTTATTTCCTTTACTTCCTTCTGTTTTGCCCTTTTCCAAATAAATAATATATAATCATCAAAATCCCTGAAGTCCCCTTTGATTGCTAATCAATCACCAAACTGCCCTCGAAGGCATCATAAGCCCTAACACCATAGGTTGGACTGCTATTGTTGAGGACGTGATTGACTCACATGGTTTTAGATTGGCCATTTTCTAAACGACATGCAAAATAATGTTAAGGTAATATTTCATTTTGGTATTCTATTATGTCGAAATATACCCTTTATTTTTAATAATTTTATGTCAGTATTTTGACCTTTTAAAAAATCTTTTTTAAGTTACTCAGTGTAGTTTTTTGAGATACAAAAAAATAAAATTACTCTTAAATTTAAATATATAAAAAAATTTTCTAAAAAATCTTAAACTTGCAATCAAGATTTTGATTTATGTTTAGGGTAGAATGAAGTTTAGGTCTTTAGTTGGAGGTTTAAGATTTTTTAAAATTTTTTTTATATTTATAATAAGGGTAATTTTGTATTTTTGTGTCCAAAAAACTGTCCTGAAGTACTAAAAGAAAATTTTTTAAAAGGTCAAGATACCATCATAAAATTATTAAAAATAAAAAATACCAAACTCATATTTTGATATAACACAGTATCAAAATGAAATTTTCCTTAATATTAAATATAAGTAGCTAAGATTGTGTAACTTTGTACTTTCAGTGTATACGACAAATAGAGAGTTTAAATATAACAAAACAAAATTATGGCTCCTATATATATATATAAATATATATAACTAGCTAGTAACATCTAGTAGGGGGACCAAGCTATAGTGATAGAGGAGGGACTGAGGGACACAAGATGAAGCATTCTTACAACGCAACATTAATAGGTATGCAGATTTGGATTTGGACCAAATTGTATGAGTTTCTTCTTTTCTGATAGTTTTTATACCTACGCGTATATTATACTTCTCTCCCCAACCCAAGGAATGCATATATATTACTTTATGTTAATCATGTGATATTAACTAACATGTGAAGTATCTAATAGAGTAGTCCTGATCTAGTCACCGATTTATTCACACTTTTTATTCAAGATTTTGATGTGTGTGTGTGTGTGTGTGTGTGTGAGAGAGAGAGACTTTTAAAGTGGGATTAATTTTATAATTAAGTAGTAAAATTAATTAAGTAGAACATTAATTTTATAATATTAAATGAAATGGAGAATGAAATTTGTACTTTTGTTATTTCACACTCACTTTAACCTACTTGGTTACTAATTGTTTTAGTTACTTGATTATTTACTCTCTTTTTTTTTTTTAAAGAAATCATGTCTATATTTAAACAATTTTTAAACTGTTCTTTAAATTTTTTTTTTTTTTTTCAAATATGGTCCTAGTAAATGCTTTTTTAACTAATGGCCCCAACCGAGGTTATTTTTCTCACAACAACCTATTAGTTGAACCAACACAAATTAAGGCTTCAACTAATTCTCTTTGCAGTTAATATAAATGCAATGATTTAGAATTAGTCCACATGTCCTATCTCTCATCTCACAAAATTCACACCTCACAATTCTTACAGTTATTCAATACTACTTCTGCATTTTTTTCTTTTTCTTTTTGTTTTTTGTTTTTTTTTTTTTTGGGCTTTTGCTCTCATAAACACAAGTTTCTCCATCAATCTTCCACCAGTGGGCACTTCAAAAACTTTAATTCCAGTCAGTTTATTATTATTTCCTAAAATACTCTAAAACAGATAACAAGCTTTTAAAATTTAACCAAGTATCATCTCATGACGCAACAACTCAAAATGCCCAACCAATTTGCATGAGACGTACATGATGTTCTTACTTTTTTAAGGACGACGATTAGTACCTAAAAAACGCCCTTAACGTTGCAAGTGAATCTAAAATTAGCACTCGTCTTTTTTTTTTTTTTTCTTTAGGGGAAGTATATATTTATTATTCATTAGACATGTGTGCTTTTTTCATTCAATTATTATAATTGCATAATGGCATGATGAATTAGTTTACCAACTATAACAAAGGTTTACTTTTGAATTTTTTTACGAAAATCCAAGCTCGTTGTGGCTTAACTTGCTACACTTATCGTGAAAAGAACAATATAACCCACGTATTAGTTGGTTATGCTTTTACTTTCTCTACTAGTATGTTTTGGTTTTTTTCTTTGCCTTCTTTTATTAGTCGCGTCGTAACAAACGATATTTTCTGTGATTAATAAAATTGCCAGCTTTTCCTAATATATATATATATATATATATATATATATGTGTGTGTGTGTGTGTGTGTATACTGTCTACACAACACCACATGACCACAAACAGTGGACTTGAACAGGAAAGAAAAAGAAATTAATTCGTGGACTAGAGGAGGGCATTATAGTCAAATATTAAATATAAGATCAGGAAACTTATTAGATATAGGCAAGGGCAAGATAGTAATTTTAAGCACTCAATATCACCTATAAAAGAGGCCCAGTTCTTCGATTGCCTCCAGAACATTTGCAGAAAAACAAAAAGACAACAACCGCGCACAGAGTACAATACCCCCAAACAAATCCGATTTCCTCTCCAAATTCCAGGGTTTCTTGTTCTTCGATTTTATATCTTATTCTCAATTTTCCGATTTCGAATCAAATTCGGAAACTGTGCCTTCGTTTTTTTTTTTATTTTTTTTTATTGAACAATCACCTTCAACTTTCTTATTTGTAAGTATATCTTTTTCTCTCTTTCTTTCTTAAATTTCATTGAAATATTGTAAATCTTGTGTTTGCGTTTTTCTTTTTCTCTATGGTATTCATTGCTTATTTGCGATTTGAGCAAATTAAGTTTGTTTTCATGTTAGATATGCATTGGATTTATGCTAAAAAAAGTTGTTGAATGTTGATTTCGTATCCGTGAGGATTTGGTCTAGAATTTAGGATTTGTTGCATTTCTATTCCTTTAAATCTTTGAAGCCTAAGGCATTACTAAATTTGCTTTATAAAATGAAAGTATAAAATTGCTTCGGGATGCTTAAATAATTGCCTCAGAATTAAATTATTGATATACATATATATATATATATATACACACATACATACATACATACATACATACATACATATATATATATATATAAAGTGCAGTACATAACTTGTGAGTTTGGATTTATCTATCAAGGTAGCGACTAGATATTATATGCTCTGGGGTTTTCGAACAATCATTTATTTTGATTTATAGTCTTCTTTTTTGCTTTGAACCATTGTTCTGATAACTAAAATTTCTTCGATGTCTATGTTTTAGACACGACTGGATGAACTAATGGAGTCCAAAGGTGGCAAGAAGAAGTCTAGCAGTAAATCTTTATTCTACGAAGCTCCTCTCGGTTACAGCATTGAAGACATTCGACCCAACGGTGGAATCAAGAAGTTCCGATCTGCTGCTTACTCCAACGTAAGTTTCAGTTCTTGTTGTAGGCATTTAAGACTTGAAGCTATTATATTTCGGATTAAAACCTCTTTTGGCGATACCATGAAATATGGATCAAACAACACTTATATATGCTTTCATGTTTATGTTGTGCAGTGCGCACGCAAACCATCCTGAGGTTGTTAAACTAGCGAGCTGACCAAGTGAAGCGACTCATCAACTGTTATAGCTTTAGATAGTGTTTATTATCTCTGTCTTCTTCGGCCGACCTCTTCCGCTTTTCCTGTTTTTGAGACTGCAATCCTTTTGCAGTTTTGGTTCCCGAACTGCTTTTCTCTGTTTGCAACTGTAAGTGTCTATTAAGGATGGCGGTTTCTGCAATTGGGTTCGAAGGTTATGAGAAGAGGCTTGAATTAACCTTCTATGAACCAAGCATCTTTCTTGATCCCCAAGGGAAGGGTCTTCGATCTCTGTCCAAAGCCCAACTGGACGAGATTCTTCAACCAGCTGAATGCACTATTGTTGCCACCCTTTCAAATGAGCATGTTGACTCCTATGTTCTTTCCGAGTCTAGCCTCTTTGTTTATCCTTACAAAATCATCATTAAAACCTGTGGAACTACAAAGTTACTTCGTTCTATCCCACCTATCCTTAAGTTGACTGAGACCCTTTCCCTTGCTGTAAAATCTGTGAGATACTCTCGTGGGAGTTTCATTTTCCCTGGTGCACAGCCTTTTCCTCATCATAGCTTTGTTGAAGAAGTTGCCGTCCTTGATAGCTATTTTGGGAAGCTTGGTTCAGGAAGCAGGGCATATGTAATGGGCAATTCTCAAGAACCTCAGAAATGGCATGTTTACTCTGCTTCTGCTGATACGGCGTCCTCTGTCGACCCTGTTTACACCCTAGAAATGTGCATGACTGGTTTGGACAAGGAAAAGGCTTCTGTGTTTTACAAAGCTCAATCAAGCTCTGCGGCCCTAATGACTATCAACTCTGGCATCAGAAAGATCCTCCCAGATTCTGAAATTTGTGATTTTGACTTTGATCCCTGTGGTTATTCCATGAATGCTATTGAAGGAGCTGCAGTTTCAACCATCCATATCACACCTGAAGATGGCTTCAGCTATGCGAGCTTTGAAACCGTGGGGTATGATCTGAAAGACGTGAAATTCGAGCAGCTGATAGTGAGGGTTTTAGCTTGTTTCCAGCCGAGGGAGTTTTCCATAGCTGTGCATGCTGATGTTGCTTGTGGATCACTAGAGGAAAATTGTTCACCCAATGTAAAGGGATACTCTTGCGGTGAAAGTAGCTACAAAGAGCTCGGAATGAGTGGTTCCATTGTCTGCCATAAGTTTGTTAGAACTAACGACAGCTATGGTTCTCCTCGATCAACGCTGAGCTGCTGCTGGAAAGAGGAAAAGGAAGAAGAAGACTATTACGGCGGCTAATCAATTCTCTTATGGCCTGCATCTTTTGACTGATTGATTTATGAATAATTGCTTAATGCATCGTCCGACGTAATATTAGCAATGAAGTTATACGTGTTCCTGCTGTTTATCTAGTGGTCTTATAACAGACCATAGTATTATTTCTTGGTCTATTTTCTCTGGCTGCATAGCAAGTGTCTGATTGGCTTGAGTCATTGGACACGAGTTAGTAATTGTTGCCTCATGGTTGTTAGAGTCTAGTATTAAGTTTTGTTTGTTCTAGTATATTTTAATTTGGATAATTCAAATGTATCGGCTTCGACCAAAATAAACCATCATTTATAAGTTAGTTATCTAATTTTGTGTTGGTAATCTAACGAGGAAAGCACGCCATTTGGGTTTCAGTTTTATGTCTTAATATGTGTAGAGCGATATTTACGTCTCTGGATATGGATGGCAGAATCTTGTTATGGCGTTTCTGTACCTCTCAGCATTCTTGGTTCAGAGCCTTCCTCTTTAAAATTTTCTTAGTGAAGTGGAAACGTTGTGTGGGCGTAAAACTACCTTTGAATAGACGATTCTCAGCCAGCTACTTGCATAATTCTCCCCGGTTCATTTTTTTTTTTTTTCCTTCTTTTGTTTGACGTAGCAGTTTTGTTCTCGTCTTTTTATCCCTCTTCACGTGAGTTTGACAATGATCGTTTGCACAAAAGTTATTCACCAAGTTCCACGCGTCAATTTCATGAGAAGTTTACTTCTCCGTCGCATGTGAATAGCAGACTTTCTGAGACTGGCGGTTCAAATTGCGCCAAGTGTTGACCAATGGCACTATGGCAGTATTACTCATTGTTTCGTTCAAACTTGACTTCTACCCATCTCCTTGTTAATCACAACAACAAACGAGGGACATCTAGACGACCCTGCCAAAGTCTCTGATTGGAAAATGAAAAAAGGAGATAAATATATCCTTTTTAAATGGTACCTTTTTGATGTTTGGTTCACATATATTATTAGTCCATTGATTTTTATTCAAATAACTATAGAGTACTTATTATTTCGTTTTTCCATTAAGGACAAGAGTAGTAAAGCAGTAGGGGAGGCCAAGAAGAAAGCGTATCATGATCTGTATAATAGGCTAGGTACAAAAGAAGGGGAGAAGGATATCTTCAAGATAGCAAAGGCGAGAGATCGTAAAACTAGAGATTTGAGTCATGTTAAGTGTGTTAAGCATGAGGATGGACGAGTCCTAACGTAGAATAAAGCAATTTTAGATAGATAGAGGAATTACTTGTGTAACCTACTCAATAGGACACATGTAGAAAAATTAGATTTGGAGGTTATGCTTTGCAAGAAGGGAGACATCGCGTGTCCCATGGTAGAGTGAGTGCAAAAGAAGTAATAGAAGCTTTGAAAAGGATCAAGTCAGGGAAGACAGTTGGACCGGATGATATACCAATCGAGGTGTGGAAATGTCTAGGAAAAGTTGGGATTCAATGACTCACTATGATTTTTAATGGGATTTTGGATACTAGAAAAATGCGAGATTCATTGAGGCACAACATTGTAGTACCAATTTATAAGAATAAAGATAATATACATGGTTGTTCGAATTATAGAAAGATAAAACTTATGAGTCATACTATGAAACTTTAGAAGAGAGTCATAGAGCAAAAATTTATCACGATATCAAAGAATCAATTTGGTTTTATGCCAAGTAGGTCTACTATGATGCCGTCCTTTTGCTTTGTCAGGTTATAGAAAGATGTAGAGAGAAACAAAAGAGTTTGCATATGGTGTTCATTGTTTTGGAGAAGGCTTACAATAGGGTCTCAGAGATCTGATTTGGCGGGTGCTAGGGAGGAAGAAAGTGCATAAATCTTTTGTCGATATTATTAAGGATATGTATGAAGGGACAATTACAAGTGTTCTCATGTCGATATCAGTAAGTGGCCGGGTGTCAAGTGAATTTCCAGTCTCAATAGGACTACATTAAGGGTCTCCTTTAAGCTCATACCTCTTCGCTTTGGTCATGGATGAGTTGACATAATATCTGCAGGATGAGGTACCTTAGTGTATATTGATTGCATATGATATCATCTTGATTGATGAAACTGGCAGAGTTATAGGTAAGAAATTAGATAGGTGGTGAGAGGCTTTAGAGAGTAATGATTTTAAAATTAGCCATTAGAAAACAGAATATCTAATTTGCAACTTCAGTCCTGAATCACGAGAGACGGGTAAACCAATTGCCAAGGCGTAGAGGTCCCAAAGTGTGACTTCAAATTACAAAAAAGCAACAACGTTTTTTCGCTGGTTGTTATTTTCCGTTAAATTTTTATTTATAAAAAACTTATATACAGAATGTGACTTAGTGGCTGTAGTTTAGTGGTGAGAATTCCACGTTGTGGCCGTGGAGACCTGGGCTCGAATCCCAGCAGCCACAATTTTGTTTTTACCTTTTTTCCCAAATATTTAATACACATTTTTTTTAGTGAGAAATATCTCCGGGGTTTAATTTGTATGGGTTTAAATTTATATGTGAATGTTCTGTTTGAATTAGAGTGCGTTTAGTTTAAGGATTTATGTCATAGTTCGTGATTCATTACAGTATTTTCTCTCATAAAAAACACATGTAAATCGAAAATAATTCTAAATCATAATTCTGAATCCATTAATCAAACGTCCTCTTAATGTTTAGTAGTATAAGGTCTAAATAGAGAATAAAATTTAAATCTATTTCCTTACATTATTAAAATTATGAATTTTTAAAAATGTGAGTGAAAATGAGTTTAATGAACAGTACTTTAGGCGAGGGAGGAGTAAGTTCCGTAGAACCTTCAATTTTTAGGTTGAAATGAATCCAAAACCCAAATCCAAGTTCATAGGAGTTTGGAGTAATTTTTAAGTTCAAACACATTACAACCCTCCAACTAATTTGCTCCTTACTTCTTATCTATTTTACTTTTTTCTTTCCTCTTTACATCAGCATTATTGAGTCAAATAGCAAGCAGAAGCAGAGCTGAGACAGTCATGGCTATTCAACAATATCAGACTGCTTCTATAATAAAGCTAAAAAAGAAAAGGTTGAGACTTGTGAATAGTTGACTGGTTCAAACTGAGCTTCTAGTTCAGAAGCAAGAAAAAAGGTTGTGACAATGATCAAATGTATAGTCTCTGATATTCAATGCCACAACCTTTTGCCAACAAGCTCTGCCAAAGGCTGATCAAGATTCAAGAGCACCCTTGCAGTATTATTCAAATTGCCCGCCAAAAAAAAAAAGAAAAAAAGAAAAAAAACACCACCCTGATGAGGACATAGGCCTTTAAAGTATAATCAGTCTAACTCGTCTTTTTTTAATAAAAAAAAGAGAGAAATAGGGAAATATGCAAAGGCTTAAGATGAATTAAAATTAATAGGTCAATAATTTACATAAGTTAATAAATAGGTTAAATTACTGTTTTTGTCCATAACTTGTCTGGTTATGAACCATAACTTGATAAGTTATTCACAATTTTTGTCCATAACTTGTCTAACTATGAACCATAACTTGATAAGTTTGTCCATAACTTATCTAGTTATGAACCATAACTTGTTAAGTTATGACCTATTAATTTTTATACCTAAAAGTTGACTTATATACTTTTTTAAGCTTTTCATATTAGTCTATTTTCTACTATTTCCATAAAAAAAAATCTAATAATTACACAAAAATACCTAAAAAATTCATATAAAATTTTGGCCCGGACTCGGTCCACCGAGTTTTCAAGTTGGACTGAACCGACTTTCTACTTAATGAGATCAGGCCAGGCTGGAGGCCCAAATGGACTGCATTAATTTCATTAAAAGTTGACCAATTAATTTCATTTTCATTTTTTGTTTAGGTCAATATAATGGTTGTGTTCACTCACTAGTAATCTATGCTCTTTGAGCACAAAGTAATTTGTACTATATATAAATATAGCACAGATGATTCCTGATGTTTCACCTGCATTACATTCCCACTTATTAATGGAGAATAAATTCTAGCCAATTTCTTTCTAGCTATGTACATTTGAGAACCCATTATCGACTTTCAATGTTCAATGTTCACCCATTAAATTATTTGATGGCCGCTAATTTTTCTCATTTTCCAGATTCCCTTTCCTTTCAAAGACGTAAATTAAAGAGTTAAGTATACTAGTATATTTAATATATCTTGCCATATATGGATGCTCTAAAAAAGTTTACAAATCACAGAGAAAGACAACATAGCTGCAGTGCCTTTTCGTGACAAAAATTGGAGGAAATCGTGTTCTGGTTGCCATCCAAATTCCAAAGTGAAGGTTCTGTGTTTGTGGGACCAGGAAACAAACACAGTTTACTTTGTCATTTCACATATGCAACAAAGAAGTTTTTTATTTTATTTTATTTTATTTTACTTTTATTGAATCTATAATTGCAGGAGTATAAAAAAAAGTTCGTTAAATTTGTATTTGATTATGTCAATTTTACAATTTTTTTTAAATTATTTTGGTGTAATTTTAAACATATAACGGTAAGCCACGTGTAGTACTATTAGGGCATTCATACAATATAAATATATAATGTACTCTTTCATTTTTGTTTTCTTTTTCTGGTCTTTTATGACGTCTGGGAGATTCGTGTGGTTATATTCATTGACAGGCTTTAATCAGAAAAAAGAGCAATTCAAGTTACTGCCAATGGACATATGAGTTTGAAGCAGAAGATACATGATATATACGAGTCATATTGAGATTGGTCAGTTCTTGATGAAGAAGAGACACTCAATTATTGTGCCTTTGAATTATGTACACATGGTTTGGAATATTGTAAACATCAATTTTTGGGACAACAAATTTCCTTGGCATATGTGTTTATATTTTATTATTTTAGTGGGAAAAAATGACACATTTTAGAGTGCTGATGATTTGCCTGTTCCTAATTGGATTAATTGTAAAATACAAAAGAAAATCATAAGTTTTTTTTTTTTTTTTTGTCTCCAAATCTTCATGTTGGATCAAGAGAGAGGCTCTATCTACTGCGTCTCTGTTGATACTCTGCACCCATCCGTTATTATCCTGTTTTTATGAGAGATTAAGTGGACTTTTACGGGCCTCACATAAAATGTAAGGGAGTGAAAACTAATTAGATGATCAATGAGAGATTAATTCAGAACCTTTCTACATACTTAATTGTCCTAAAAATTAATGTTATAGCTGAAAGAATTAGGAGACATAAAATGCACCAAGATCTCTTTTTTTATTAAAAAAAAAACTACTGCATTTCTGACAAGTAGAAATGGGCCATTACGTTCTACAAGAAACTTAAGCATGGCAGCATTCTGAGACAAAGGCAGC